AGATGAGGAAACCAAGGCCCATAGATCACAAAACCTATTAAGGTCACCAAATCCACACAGAGTAAAGCCTGAACTCAGGCAGCTCAGAACCAGATTCTGCCACCCAGTTCTTCCTAAGTTCATCTGTCAGTTTCTAAGAATCCCAGGTCCTGACATAAAAGTGATTAAAATTTTTTGGATGATGATAAATACAAAGAAGCATATTACATTTTTTTCTTTCTTTTTTCAATTCTGGGCATCAAACCTGGGGCCTTGGGCATGCTAAGCAAGTGTCCTACCACTGAGTTACACCCCTAGCTCAGCATATTTGCTTTTTTTTTTGCTAAATTAAAGTTCTGAAGTAAACACAATTGCTTCCATTCAATTAAATTACCGGAAACTCTAGACAGGTGTCTAGCTCAAGATTCAATAAATTTATTCTACAAAGGGCCAGCCTATAATTATTTGATTTTTATTTTTGCATGCTGGGGATCAAACCTACGGACTCATACATACTAGGCAAGCCCTATGCCAGTGAGTTATACCCCATTACCGAAAGTAATTATTTTAGACTTCGTGGGTCAGGTAGACTTAGAGCCTTGTTAAGTTGTTGAGGCTGGTTTTGAACTCGAAATCCTCCTACCTCAGCCTACTGAGCCTCTGGGATTACAGGCATGTGCCACTATCCCCAGCCCTAGGTCATCCTTGACACCATATCTTCAGAAGTCACCACCAGCATCAGAGTTAAACCTTTCAGTACCATCATGCAGGTTCCACACAGATCTTTGCACATCAATGGCTAACTCCCATGATACCACATACACATTTCTTCCCATAGCTGCACTGATCAGAACTCTCGAATCTTATAGGAACTGAAGCAAACATCACAGTTCTCTGTTTAATGAAGTCAACACACATTTGAATCAAATTTCCATTCTGCATTTTTAAAAGCCCTATAAAGAAATGGCATCCGGCAAGCTAAAATTGAAACATAAAGAACAACTCAAGAATGTCAGGCATTTTCAATAGTTGATCTGCATTCTCATGTTTCCTTTAGTAAACAAAGATGCAAAAAGACTGCCTCATGCAGAAACAAAACAAAACAAAAGCCAAATTGTCAATCTTTTACAAACCTTTTAAGTCTGGAATGAAACTCGCTACATTACTGATATGACTCTCTGCAAACTAGGACTTTCTCTAAGTTTCTAAGATCTAGAGATCTTAGATACCATGTGTGGGCCACAGCACATCAAAGGGACAATACCATAGAGTGAAATACCAGCCGAAACTTGACCTTGTGAAATGCCAGGAAGATGATTTAACATCCATCATCTTTGCCCTTTCATAGCATGAACCAAGTGACACAAAAATCTAGTTCCTCATTCCCAGACGGTGAAAATGCTGTGAGTGCATCAATTCAGACCTTCAGATGGCTCTCTAACCAGGTGTAAAGTCACGTTTTGACTGTGCAAAGTATCATAACACAGCAACCAGTAAGGATACGAAGATGTAGTCGTCCATGTATCTCTTCTTCAGGTTCTCCACGATGGCGCTCTCTGTGATCTTGGAGAGCAGCACCATGTCATCCACCCCACTGTGCTTGACATTGTGACTCTGCCAGTGGTACCGGAAGGCGCCTTTGCTCCCCTGGGAACAACAAAAACAACAACAAAAAAAATCAAATAACTGTTAGGACAGCTCACATCCTTCTGGAGTTTAAAAAAACAACAACAACAAAACCTGATTTTTCAAATATTCCTCAGATAAATTGCAGCAAAGATTTTGCATTCATAGACTTGGATTCAAATTCCAGGTTTGTCACCTACAGATAAATAGGGGAAAGTTACTCAAGCACACTGTGTGGCTGAAGCTACTCTTCTCTCATTTGTCAAACGAGAGAAATAAGATGCACTTCACAGAGTTGCTGTGAGGGTCACGTATCGTGTATAAAGGAAACAGTGTGGGAACAGCTCAAAACAAGAAGGACAATCTCTGATACCTCCTAAAATCTTACTGTGTTTATTGAACTTGTGGGTGAAAATGGGCAAGGAAATAAAAACTTTCCAGACTTGTTTTTCAAACTCTATGATAGAACCCAGAGGTGGAGAGAATATGTATCACGCAATCACTAGGTCACGTTGTCATAATTCTCAAGTCATCTGAACTATTTTTCCCTTCATCAACTTATCACTGTCCGTGTAATGCTGGCATTCCACATTCAGTACATTATGATAAGTGACCATTTCTATACTAACCAAGACACCAGAGCCACGTTGACTGGCGGTGGCCTCTGAACACTGGGGTCTGCAGGGCTTCCTTTCATTGGGCATTTCTGTGGCACAATCCTCCATGTGTTTGCCTATTTCCCAAGTCCTCAGGCTGGAGCACAGGCTCACTCAAAGTGGTGGCACTTGGGAGCTCACAGTCCATTGAAGGACAACTAGATGACGATGGACAAAGCAATCCATGCATCATCGACGGTCAATACATGAACACACACAAAATATACCTCCAGGGTGGGGAAAGACGCCTTTGTCCTGGCAGAGGCAGAAGACGTGACTTCCTGAAGAAGGAGCCATTTACAATAGGTATAAAATATTTTTAATTTGAATTTGCAAGGGGAGACCAAAGGAAGGACATTCATTATAATCTACACTCAATAGGAGCCAAAAAAAAAAAAGTCAATACATATGTAATAATGAATGGCAGGCATGTGACAAGACATTGGAATATGGTCCCTTGCCTTCAAACACTTCATACATCCTCTTGAAAATGCCATGTGTTGGGTGAGTGTGGGGACCACTGAACTGGGTGAGGCCCAGCCCCGCCCCCTCCCAGGGGTTCACTACTTGGGGGGGGGGGCGGGAGTTGGACAAAGCAGAGAATAATTCTGAATAAGTGTTTATAGAAAGGCTGCTGCTCAGGCATCAAAAGTTGGACGAGAAAAGAGAATAGGAGGCTCCTTGAGAGAAGCAGGAGGTGAAAAGAAACGATTTGGAAGCCACACTAAATTTCATTTTTAAAATGTGTTCAATTGTTTCTCTAAGGGAAGCAGATGCCTTGCTAAGTGCACATTCTAAGAGGCTCTGAGGAAAGCAATCTTCAAAAAAATCAGCCAAGAAGGGTCCGCCGTAGGAAAATCAATTCGGTGCCATGGGCTCAAGCTGTGGAAAGAGGTTCTGGAAGGTTTGCCCACCCATGCTGCCTAGCAGAGGGAAATGATCTGTATGATATATTTGGCTTTCTCAGAACCACACGCAGCATCAGTTCTACAAAATTACCTCAGCCCTCACCGCTCCTTCTTCCTCTGTGGCAAAGCAGAAGAGAGGAAAAGCACAGGCCGCAGCGTGACTCACGGCCTTCCATCCAATGCCCACGGTCTACTTCCAACCAGAGTGTGGCGGCTCCTCCCCAGGCCCCACCTCCTTCACTTCCTTTTCCAGCTTCCCCAGAACCCACAGAAGTTACTCTACATAGAAAACAAAGGTCCTGTAGGTGTGTCGGTGGTGTTTTAACCCCAAGAAATGTCCACCGACTCAAGAAGGGCCATAAATGTTTTTTTCTTCTTTGAAATACATAAGCACAGTCAAACAAAACAGAAGGCTATTGATAAGTGGTTATTTAACTTCTACAAAGGACAAGAGACAAAGGAGCTCTGTGTCAGTGTGTGTGTACTGATTCACAGTGGCCACCTTCTCATGGTGACCGGTGCCCGCCTGGGCATCCAATTCCACTGTCTTTCTCCCCACCTCACTGCCTGGTGATAAGAGTCCTACCTGTCCCCCACTCCCACTCCTAGGCAGTTTCCTCCTCCTAAAAGCAGGTATTCCCCAGCTCCCTTTGGAGTTCATTGATTTTCATGGCCCCAAATATCACTGGACACTGAAGATTCCCTCCCCTGGTTCTCAAGCCTTCTATCTACAGTAGAGTAGGAACCAACAGCGTGACCTGAGTGGTTACTACAGACTGTCCTGACTTGATGGTTGGACTGATGTTTGTTTGTTTGTTTTTTTAACTTTACGATGGTGTGAAAACAATATGCAGTCAGTAGAAATTGTAACTGGAATTTTGATCTTTTCCTGGGATAGCCACACGCAGTACCATATGCTGTCATGACGCTGGGCAGCTATAGCTCCTTAGCAGCCACATGATCTTGAGGGTCACCGACCCATGCTCTATGACAGTGCCCTGTGTTGCTAAGCTGTGGTGGTTGTGGGGTTAGGAGAAATTAAATGCACCTTCAATTTACAATTTTTAAAGAATTGCAATGGGCTCATTGGGACATAACCTCATTTGTAAGCCAAAGAGTACCTGCATATGAAAAGCAGGAAGCTGTTTGGTGGAAGCCAGTCCACTTACTATGCCAACCACCTTATCAGAGAGGGGTTAACACTCCCAATCTCATAGGAGGAAGCTGAGATCTCCCAACTAGTACGTAGCAAAGGCAAGATGTGGATCAAAGACCCAGTGATTATGGACTCATCCAAATGGCTCTTTCACTGTCTCCCCAGTGACTTACTAGATGTTTCTGCCTGTTGAGTTTTAAAATGGCAATGGAATGACAGACTATCTCTAAAATGGAATTCCTCATTAAAAAGACATATGATCTTTGTTAATGACCACCTCCTCTTAGCATCAAAGACTAAAAACACTGGAGTTGTTTTCAATTTGGCTCACAAATGTATGTGTGTGTGTGTGTGTGTGTGTGTGTGTGTGTGTGTGTGTGTGTGTGTATTGGGAGCGGGCCCTCCCTCACTGACTCCCCTCCCCTCTCCCCCAATTATAGTTACAATACATGAACTCGCTCAACCTTCACAACCATCCCTGATACCGTGTATTATCATCTCAATTTTTCTGTTGAGAAAACTGTAAAGTGCCAAAGGTTTTCAATTATAACTTGCTGTGCCAGAGCTAGGGAGGGTGGGAGCAATGCAGAGCCCTTGGGGGATGGGTGACCCACACGGACTGTTGAGAACCAGGTCAGAACCCAGGAGGCAGCAGAGGCCACAAGGTTACCAGGGAAACTGCTAGAAACCAAAGGTGGAAGTTCAGGCTCTCATCCCAGCTCAGGGGAGCTTCAAGATTCCCCCAGGGTGTAAAAAAAAAAAAAAAGGAAAAACCTGTTTTCTGTTTTTCTGCAGGGACAAGTGAGTTGACAATGTGTGACTTATCCAGAGGCCTCCTTGACCACAGCTGCCATGGGGAGAGGCTGGCCACAGGGTGGGAAATGGCTACCATTCACAGCCCCACACCTTGGGAAGAGAGGCTGAAAGTTGTTCAGGGACACAGGTGACCTCTTAGAAGCGGGGGGGGGGGGGCATATATTAGGGCTGGGACAAATCACCTTGATTGCATTTCCCCCTTTATCTCTTGCTCCTACTCCTGACTGAGAGGTGGGGCAGGTGTGGCTGCTGAGCACACTCAGAGGGCCAGTCGGGACAGAGGGCAGTCATCTGTCACATCACCTCAGTAAGAGCTGCTTCTCTCTTCTGTGGGCTTCTTTTCTGGGTAACTCCTCTTTGTTTACCCCACTAAAAATGGAAATCTTTTAAGTAAATAGGGTGCTCAACAAGGTCATTTCATTTTCCAGTGGCCCTGGAGGAAGAGGTACCAGCTGAAAAGGCAGCCGGTGGTGCCGGCCAAGAGATGTAAACAGTAACACCAATAACGAAGTTACCCGACGCTCTGGCAAGGGTCACACATTCCAAGGGCGAAATGTCCCAGTAGATATGGATTGACTTTCTTGGACCTACATTTAGTTTCTTAATGATGACTCCGTTGATTAAAATGCATCTGATTCACAGGCAAGTTCTAGAGAGTGGTGCACACCCATACCCTCATAATGGCCTGATGTGTCGCTCACCTGTAGGAGGTGACGCTGAGACACCAGAGTTCCCCCTGGGGACTGTGGGACAGAAACCTGGGCTGCCTGATTGTGACTGGTTTTAAAAGGTGGAGCCTCACTAACTGGCGTGTTTACCAAGGCGGATGAGAGTGACGGTGAGTCAGAGCACAAGGCAGGCATTATGTTGCCCGGGAAGTCCACCTCCACTGCAGGAGGGCACTGGCAGGCCCCGCCCGGCACCGGGCATCTCTGCAAACACTCTCACTTTTTAATTCGTACAAGAGACGAGTTACTCAGACGCTGGGTAGCTGCAGTCTTCAGATCCCTTCGAATGCCCAGAAAAGGGAGGCTGTTACATTCACATATCTTTGTTCTGACAATTATATTTTTAGTTTACCCCCAAGAAATGCCTGCAAATGGATGGCCAGACACAGGTACAGATTTGCTCACTGTCACAATGTTTGTAACTGGCTGCAATGACACTCTGTGAAGGAGTACTATATAGTCCCGAATAGGACTTGCATGCCCACATGAGGAGATCAAGATACACTGCTTGAGGAAAAAAAAACAATATGTGGAATACATATTGAATGACTGCATTTGTATGCATATTTTTTTAAAGGCATGTGTGTTACAATCATTTTGATCAAAGTTACACAAGGCACCTTTAGGGAAAAGGTCTGGGGTTTTTTTTTTTTTCTGAGAAGGGTGACTTATTTTCCATTTTGTATTTTCCTATACTGTTCACACTTTTTAATCACATGAAAGTGTTACAGGTTGAGTATCCCTTATCCAAAATGCTTAGAACCAAGTTTTTTGGATTTGGGATTATTTTTAGTTTTAGTTTTTAAAATATTATTTTTAGTTTTTGAATTATTCGCATATACATAATAAGACACCTTGAGGATGGGACTCATCTAAACATGGAATTTACTTATATTTCACATATAACTTATATACATACCCTAAAGGCAAACTGATGCAATGCTTTTCGTGTGACTGCATTTTGATCTCAATCTGTCACATGTTAGCTGGGGAATTTCCCAGGTGTGGTGTCATGACGACACTAAAAAACTTTTGGGTTTTAGAGTTGGGGTTTTCAAATTATGGATGTTCAACTTATAGCAAAATTTAAAAATAAATAGAAACACTTAGAACAATGTCAACCAAATTGAGCATTTGCTAGTTTGGCATTGACAGAGTTCTCTAAGCCAAATGCCCAGACCGTGGTTTTAAGACTGAATTCTGTGCATCTTCTAGCTTCAAAAGACAATCAGAAGATGTCGTCTGGACGACAAGGACAGTATCATGTGTGGGCAGTTTAGTTGGTCCGTGAGCAGAACAGGACAGCAGATCCAGTTTCCAGAAAACCTGGGCCTGGAACGTTCCAATGCTGTAAGCGCATCTCCCTGGTAGCAGATGAACCATATTTTCACTGGGAACAATGGACAATGGCAAAGCTCTGGCCTGCAGTTGAGCTGAGCTTGCTTTCTTTTTTTTTTTTTTTTAATTTTTATTTTTTATTAGTCGCTCGAGACAATACAATAATCTTTACCTATCATACATTTGATTCAAATGGGCTATGAATTCTCGTTTTTCCACGTGTACAGATTGCAGGATCACATTGGTTATACAGCCACGTATAGACAAACAGCAATACTAGTGTCTGTTGTATTCTGCTGCCCTCCCTATCCCTGCCTCCCCTCCCCTCGAACTGAGCTTGCTTTCTAATGCGACTTTTCTGCCTCAGTGAGTCACAACAGGAAAGGAACAGACCTGTCCGTTAGACTTGGACTTTTAAATTAACATTCTGGAATTCTACCTTTTGCCTTTCTCCTAATTGACTGGAATGAAGCACTTCCATTAGAAGTGATGAGGGAGAAAATGATCAACCATAAGTACGTGTGTGTCTTCTATGTCTGAGGCAATGTGAACCAGCCTTAAGCTCGCAATACATTATTTCAACTTTATGGAATTTAAACACCTCCAATATTTTGATGAGGCAAAGATGCATTTTTGAACCAAGTGTGTGTGTGCTGAGCTGAACTTAACACATGGAAGGGGACTTTCTTGACGGGAAGGCGTAGCCACTGTCAGCAGCCTTCAAACCACTTCCATCCCCTCAACTTTTGGGTAGTTGAAACTAAAATTTACTGAACCTACAAGTACAGACCCATGCTTTACTTCATTTAATTCTCACGACACCAGCAAGACACAAGTGTTGTAATCGCTCTCTCCCACCCCTCCCCATCACTATTTTGTAAATGAGGAAACTGAGGTCCAGGGCTGTCCTATGCCAAGTTCCTCTGCTTGGAGAAGATGCACTGAGAAGGTCTCCTGGGGACTGGCAGATGGGGCTGGGGAGGGAACCTCAAGGAACTGAGAATGCGCTTATTACATTCATTCAAGACAATGCAGTCCTACCAAAAGTTCAGCGTTTGTGTCTCATTTTCACATCCCCGATAGCACTTAATCCCTGAGATTCGACCCTGGGATTTCTGACTTGCTTTTCTGTGCTCTTTCTGCTCTACGATAGCTCCCTTCCAAGGCTTATCCTCCAAGCCAAGCGCTGACACCAAGTCCAGGGGCTGAAAAATCAAGTTAGCTGAAATCAACCTTCCTGGAAGAGTTGACCCCACTGGACAAGTGGTCCACGGTCACAGCAGACGTAATTTACCATCCAACCTGGGTCACTTTTGAAAGCGGAAGAGGGTGTTGTTAATAACAGCGCTGGACCAACAGGCATAAACTAGGACTGACTCAAGCTGCATGGCTGTAAGCACGGTCAACTGCATCTCAGAAAGCCAAGGCCACTCTCAAGGACTAGCCCTCCCAGCCAAGACCCTGAACCACAGGGTGTCACACCAATCACTCAACCTCTCAGAGCTGGTCCCCTCCTCAGCAGAAGGCTCATAACACTAGGCTGCCCGGGAGCTACTGTGAAGACCAAATAAGATTGACAATCAAAACAAACCCCAATCCCTTTAAGGGGTGGAGCCACCTCTCCCTTCGCCCCCAGCACTGGGGACCAAACCCAGGGCCTCCCATGTGTTAGGCAATCACCCTGCCACTAAACTGCATCCCCCTGGCCCTTTTTATTTCGAGGTAGGGTCTTGCTGAGTTGCCCAGGGAATTGCTCGGGCTGATCTTTAAGTTGAGATCCTCCTGTCCTGGCCTCCCAGGTAACCGGGATGATAGATATGTGCCACCACACCTGGCTGGTAGGAGTGTTTTAATCTGATGACATGATCAGGAAGCTAAGAATGGACTATGTATTCCAGGCTGGCAACACTGGTTGGAGCAGGTGTGTGCGTGGGGGAGGGGGGAGATTGTAAAAGATAACAAGTATGGGTGTGTCCCAGCTCCACTGGGAGTGTTTATTTTTGAAGCAGTAGATGAAATAATCATGTGCCTCTTAGAACCAGTGGCATCTTAGATATGATGAATTCAGCACATAACACTTACTGGTGGCCAGGAACTGTTTTAAGCATTTTCCAAATAGTAAGTTACTGATTAATACCATCACAGAAAAAAAATATGAAGATTGTTATTAGTTTTTGATACAATGCTTCCAGAATAATCCCACTACAGGAACTACAAAGTGTCTTTTATCAGCAGGGTTGACGGTCACTCCGTTGTAGAAGCTTTGTGTAAAAATGTTTGTGGGCATCACCCCTCTATCCACAACCCAACTACAGGATGAAGACAAGGGTTGCCCTGATGACCAGCTGCCCGGGATGAGCCACCTACCACCAGACCACAAGTTTGCAAAGCAAAGTCTTTAGGTAATTTCCTCTTCAATTTGTAAAAGCACTTGCATGTCTGCATCGCTTTCAACCTGTTCCATCAGTGCTAATGTGGCTTGAAGCAGGAAGGTGCCTGCCCCCACACGGTGTGTCCATGTGGGATTACTAACATTTCTGCCACACACCACACTCCAGCAATTCCTACTCGTTGATTACTTTCAACTGCTTCCACAAATTTCCTATAGCCAAGTTCCACCAATCCTATGCTTCAGATTTTTCTATGAAATACTTCGTTAATTTGGCTTAAATCTATACAATAATATCCATAAGATCACTTGCTTTTTATTTCTTTAATATGTAATATGTATTTATTTCTTTTACATCATCAACTTTGGTGATGAACATTTTAAATACCATCGTGGGGTTGTTCATACCCATCTATGGTCCTCCCGGGTGCTATGATCCACACGTGAGGACATGCTGTAGCCCCCTTTGGGGCCCGTTTCCACAGATTTCAAATAGCCATGGCAAATTTAAATGATGTCTGTTCTACTTCCTAGATGTGCTTCTCCTTGCTGTGGAAAGTCTCCCATGGCAAGACCACGCTTCCCTTTAGTTGGGAAATGAAAGCCTAGAATTCCAATTCACAGGTAAAAACTATCCTGTATTCATGTTCTGAATTTCCCCCACTTTCTATCAGTGGTCTTAAGGCCCCTGCTCTGGTCTTCTTGCCTCAGAAAATCCTCCCACCACACACAGGCCAGTTCTCCAAGGCAAGCCCTTGCCTTGCGGCTGAGGAGGGCATGCTCCCCTGGACACCTGCTATTTATTCTTTCTGCCTAGAAGTGCTTCCTGCCAGTGTTACCAGCACTGTTCTGTCCTCTATCCTTTTCAATCTCCAGAAAACTTGGAAGGGTGGCTCCTTCCCCTTCCATCCTCACCAAAAGTCCCCTTACAAGCCCCTTATTTGGAACAGGTCTGGACTCCCCACCCCCTTCTCATCCGTTGTAAACACACACATAAGCCTGGATGGCCTGTGTCCCAGCTCTGTAATTCACTCCAGGCTCTCTGCAGCCCTGCAGGCTCTCTGTCCTCCAGGCAAAGCCTGGTGGTGGCTCCTTTGAGTATAGCCACTGGCAATCTAGAGGGATGGGCAGTCATGGGACACTGGCTGCCCTGCAAACCTGGACTGGAAGCCCTCAGGGCTGCTCCCAGAAGACAACTGGGAACGTGCAAATCGTGCAAATCGTAGCAAGGTTTCCCTGATCTGCCTTTGTCCCCCTCAGACCCTGCTTTCCCTGAACTTGAGGCTCCCACAATACCATTTTGCAGGCACACCATAATGGGTTGATTTTTGGTTTGAGGTACTGGTGATTGAACCCAGCAGCGCTTAACTGCTGAACCATATCTCCAGCCCTGTTTGGCATATTTTATTTTGAGATAGGGTCTCACTATCATGGCCTTGAACTCACGATCTTTCTGCCTCAGTTCCCCAAGCCTCAGGGATTATAGGAGTGTGCCATGGTGCGGGCTGGGGTTTGTTTTTGAACTCTGGAGTCTGTGGGTGAGGTGGGATCTTCAGTAACTCTGCCAGGCTAACCTCCTGCTTGGGATATTCTCCCACACTCCTCAACCCCACTCCAACCCTGTGCCTAGTGAACTGCTGCCCAGCTCAGCTGGGGCATCGTCTTCTCTGGGAAGCCGCTCCTTCACTGCCTTAGTAAGCAACACCATCGGAGTGCCTGGCCCCCAGAACTGGGTCTCGTCACCATTCTATCTAAGGCCTCCTACAGGGATTAGGACACCTCCAGGACACCCCACAGATATTTGTAGAAGGAACAGAATAAAATATTTTTCCTACACAACAGCTGATTGTTACTATATACCAGGTACTGTTCTCATACTTTACATATGATGACTCAACCCTTGCAATCTTACAAGGCAGGAAACTGAAGCACAGAGAGGCTAAGTAACTTGCTCAGTTCAACAGGTGGGCTTCAAACCCAGGCCTTCTGGCACAGAATTTCTGCCCTTAAACATAATACCTCCTGCTTCTCATCACAAAGTAAGTGGTTACTGGAAAGAGCAATAATTCTAACGTTCACTGTAATTGTCATGTGACATTTGTACCATGTATGAAATTCTTTCATCTGCACAATGACACCATGAAATTTTCCTTTTTGTTTTGTTTTTTGTTTTGAGTCCTAGGGATTGAACCCATTGAGTTATATCCCCAATGCCGTTTATTTTATATTTTGAGACAGGTCAAAAGACAAAGCTCTGGGCCATGTCAGTCTTCAGAGGACATCTGTTTCCTTCAGCATCCCCAGCATGCAGGGCAGTGCAGGGTGGGTGGTAGTTAGTGTTCAATCAGTACTAGTTGGGTGAATTAATTTGAGGCTGTATTAGCTCATCTCAACATCTTTGCTGTGTGAATACTTAACTGCAGCAGCCATTGGTTGGACAAATGGGGACCCTGGACCCCCAGTGCCATATTCCTCTAGGGGCAAAATGTAGCCATCAATGTGTCAGCCTAAAAGATATTAGGGTGCTAAGAAGACATGTTCATCAGATCAGAGAGCTAGCCAATGGATGAGGCACAGACAAGGGTCCTGTGGGCACAACTCAGGAGAAGAAGCACCAGAGCAGCCACTGATCAACACTGCAGATCAGTGCCACGGGAAACCTATAGGTTCAAAGCAGCTCAATATGCAAAGACAAAGCCCAATGCCAGTCCCTCCCTATGGCATCACCTGATGGGAGGACTCGGGACCCACCCCTTGGACTTGAGGAATGGAATAAAAACCAAGACATGAAGCAAGGAATTTAGAAGGGGTGTGGTGTGGCAGGGATGGAGTGGGGGTCAAGAATAAGCTTGATGATTCAACTAAGAGCCCTAAGGCAGGCAGGAAGGCAGTCTGTCTTTTGATGCCCCTATTATCAGTTATTTTTTAGAAATCACAAATGAACTGTGAGTCTGGTTTGCAAAAGGCAAGTACTGTGGCAGTTCACCGGTGGGATGGGGCGTGGGGTGAGCACAGCAAGGAGCAGACACCGACAGCTGTGTCCCTTGCCAAAGGAATCCCCAAAGGACTCTTCCTGTGCACCAGCCTCCCGAGATAAGCAAATTCTGAGGATGAATTTGCAATAAATTGTCAATTTGGAGTGATTAGCACAGCTTCACCATCAACTTATCTAAGCCCTATTATGTGCTTCTGGGGAAGCACAAATAGGTACATCTGCCTTCCTGTGAGCAGCTTAAATCCTCACTAAAGTTTCAACTGCAAGCAGATTGTTTAAATTCAGAAATTGGAAAGGTAAAGAGCAGCCAAAGAATATGCTCTCTCTCTGAGAAGGAATGCTAACTGAATGGAAGTCTTAGAAGTTCCTACAACTATCAGGAAGCTCCGTGAGGACATTAAGTAAAAGGCACACAAAAGTATTCTAGTCACAGCCTTGGACAAGGTTATATTAACTTCTCAGCCTTGGCTTCTATTTCTGTAAAATGGGATAGAACAATAGTAGATACCATTCAGGACTTTCAGGGCAGCGAATGAGAGTGCACGGAAGGTCATATTCCACTGACCCTCAGGGTAAGTTTTGCACTAGTTGCTGTTAATAATAAGGGAACCGGGGATACTGGTGGCTGTGGTACTCTGAATATGGTTAGTTTCAAGAAACTATTGTTAGTTCATCTGGCTAACAAGAAGAGAGCAAAGATAGGATTTAATTAAAACATGGAATTTTAAAAATCTCACGATGCTCAAGGACTGCATAATTGTACAACATAAATGTGAAATGTTTGAACACAGTCCCCCTCCCCTGCCCCCAGTACTAGGAATTGAACCCAGGGGCACTACCACTGAACTTCACCCCCAGTCCCTTTTCTAAGTTGCCCAGGCTAGCCCTTACCTTGCCATGCTCCTGCCTCAGCCTCCTGAGTAGCTGGGATCACAGGGATCACCATCCTGGGCTTTGAACACAGGATTCTGAGAATAAGGATCTGCCACAGCAGAGGGTAAGAAGCAATGACAGAGAACACACCAGGCACAGGGAACCTAACAGCAGGGAAGAAGTACACCAAGGGCCTTCTTGAGTAACAGGCTGATGCCTTATGGGCAAAAAATGAAAATATTGAAACAACAAAAGAGGGGTAAGGAAGGGGAAGAACACTTCTGAATTCACATTTCGAATCCTCAAATTCTGAATGCACTTAGAAGGAGCTTTGCCCATCAATCAATCTTTCCAAAGCTCTTATTTTGCAGATGAGGAACCTGAAGCCAGAAAGGTGACAACTATATCCCTGGTGCTATCTTTGATCCCCCATGGAGGTTCTGGCATTTAAATATTTCTAATTTCTCAAATAATAAATTGTACCATTATTGAATCTTGATTCTCTAGTAGTTAGACTGCATGAGGATTCTGGTGTCCGTTCACATAGGAAGCTTTTGATTTCTTCCTAGTTTTATTTTTTAATTGTAGTTGGACACAATACAGTTATTTTATTTATTTATTTTTATGTGGTGCTGAGGATCGAACCCAGGGCCTTGCACACGCGAGGCAAACTCTCTACCACTGAGCCATAACCCCAGCCCCTCTTCCTAGTTTTTAATAAAAATAGAAATATGATTAAGTTTGAATATGTTATTTCTGGTGAGTAATCTTGTATAGAGAAGTGCATGTACCACACTTCAGAAACTACTTTACTAGAACCTCTTGCTTCCCACTAAGATATAGGCCTCGGTTTATGGGGAAAAGTAAGAGTCTGGACATTGCCTTAAAAAGAAAAGGGAGCTGGGTACGGTGGCACATTGTTGTAATTCTAGTGGCTCAGGAGGCTGAGGCAGGAGGATCCTGAGTTCCAATTCAGCCTCAGTAATGGCAAGGTCCTAAGCAACTCAGTGAGATCCTGTCTCTAAATAAGATACAAAATAGGTCTGGGGATGGGGCTTAGTGGTTAAGTGCCCCTGAGTTAAATCTCAGGTACCAAAAAGGTTCGGGGGGACTGAATGTGGATGTGGTGCACACCTGCAATTCCAGCTACTGGAAAGCTGAGGCAGGAGGATCATGAGTTTGAGGCCAATAGGCAACATAGTGAGACCCTGCCTAAAAAAGTAAAAAGGGCTGAGTGTGTGGCTCAGTGATAGAAAAACACTGGGTTCAAACCCCAATACTGCAAAAAAAAAAAAAAACGAAGAAGAGAGAAACATGGGAAAGACAGAAATTAGAACTACAGACCTCTGGCTATAGAACTTTGTGGTGTTCCTTCCAATAGTAATTTTTCTTCTGCCAGAATCAGTAAAATTGAATAAGAAACACAAGCTGACCACATCTAATATGATCACAGGGCATGGGTGGGTCATACCCGTTAAAACTCAGCTCCACAAATTTTCTTTTTTATTTATTTATTTTTTATTGTTGGTTGTTCAAAACATTACATAGTTCTTCACATATCATATTTCACACTTTGATTCAAGTGGGTTATGAACTCCCATTTTTACCCCGTATACAGATTGCAGAATCACATCGGTTACACATCCACTGTTTTACATATTGCCATACTAGTGTCTGTTGTATTCTGCTGCCTTTCCTATCCTCTACTATCCCCCCTCCCCTCCCCTCCCCTCCCCTCTTCTCTCTCTACCCCCTCTACTGTAATTCATTTCTCCCCTTGTATTATTTTTTCCTTTCCCCTCACTTCCTCTTGTATGTAATTGTATATAACCCTGAGGGTCAACTTCCATTCCCATGCAATTTCCCTTCTCTCTCCCTTTCCCTCCCACCTCTCATCCCTGTTTAATGTTAATCTTCTTCTCCTGCTCTTCGCCCTACTCTGTTCTTAGGTACTCTCCTTATATCAAAGAAGACATTTGGCATTTGTTTTTTAGGGATTGGCTAGCTTCACTTAGCATAATCTGCTCTAATGCCATCCATTTCCCTGAAAATTCTATGATTTTGTCATTTTTTAATGCAGAGTAATACTCCACAAATTTTCCATGCAAAGAAGTTTTTGGTAACTGCTACTTACTTTTTGTTGTATTCTGTGAAATACAATACAGCTCACCAAAAAGGCAACCCACATCTAGAACTGTGTGACAGCAACTATGTGCCTAACACCCTGTCAGGTGCTTTGCATACATTATTGCATTTAAGAATATTTAATTTAAGAATTCTAGAGCTAGCATCCCAAAGTGCTTTTTGAAGCCAATTTCAGGCATGGAGTATCAGTTTGGTGGCTTTAGAAACTCAAAACAGCTTCCACTGAGGCCCTGGGTGGAAGACAGGGGAAATGGATTCCCGAAACTGAAGATCTCTCAAGAGAGCTGTTCTCTGATAGCAAAGTTTCAAATGTAGCACTTGAAGTGCGTTTAGGTGGCAGGTTAAATGAAGGGTTACCTTGACTGTGTAAGGGAAGCTACTACTCTGTACATAGAGGGACATCTCCAGCACGCTGAATGACCCACAGAAGAAAGATAATGGGCACAGCAAGAAACACTCAGTGAGGCAAAGAGGCCAGAGCTTTGGAGCCACCCTATGACATTGGGCTTCAGACTTGCCTCCTTCAAAGTGCTTCTTGAAGCCAGTTTCAAGGCCCACACACTGGCCTTCAGTAAGAGCAGACTTCTCATTCAAAATTTTGTAGGCAATTGGTTTTGACTTTCCTTTGTGGCAAAAGTGCCTCTTAGCACCGTCAGGGGATTCACAGAAATTCTTACTCAGACAAAATCGGCAAGACAGACATCAATTGCTGGGAATCTGTTGAAGAAATAGTTTACATAGGTTCCAAAGTCAAACAGCATGCTGCTCTCAGCCCTGCAAAGTCAAGAGCTGGTAGTAAATTCTGGTCTCCCTTGTTGTAAGG